TCACTCACTCACTCACTCACTCACCCCCTGACACACTCCCTGACTCACTCACAGAGCAAGTTTAGAGAGGGGAGGACTGTGAGGTGTTCCTCACCCATTCTTAAACTTGCAACTACAGTAACGGATGCCACTTACACCAGTTAGACAAGACAACCAATTAAATGTAGATTAAAAACAATGCACTCCAACTTTGGGTAGTCGAGCCTATCAGAAACCTAGACAGCACAAGGATGGTAATTTGACCCTGACGTTATTAGGTAGCCATTCATTTTCTCATGGGAATAAAAAGATATGTTGAAAGGCTTTTTTTTTTTGCTGGATTCTTGTTGGCTCCACTACTGAAAGTTGGAATGTATAATGCTAAATGGATAAGGCTGACAGAATGGTAAAACATTGTTCACAAATAACCATGACATTACCTTCTATTTCATATGTTTCATTTGTCTTGTCTTTAACTTGTTCTGTGTTAGTTCCATAGTGCATCGCTAGCGTAATGCACTCCTAAATATCACTAATCTGATGATTACTATCGACATGATGTTGCTAAAGTATAAAAAAAGATAAACAAAAGAATGAATAAATGATTGAATGAGTGGCACCATTAATATAAACATGGCTTCCCATAAGAATGTTTTCATGGGTGAGAAAACCTATAAGACTGACTTAGATCAGGTACACAGTACAGTAACATTGAAATGGCTTCCCATAAGAATGTTATCATAGGGTTGGGGAGACCTATAATACTGACTTAGATCAGGTACACAGTACAGTAACATTGAAATGGTTTCCCATAAGAATGTTATCATATGGGTGAGGAGACTTTAATAATAATGATGTATATCAGGTACACAAGTACAGTAACATTGAAATGACTTCCCATAAGAATGTTATCATATGGGTGAGGAGACTATAATACTGATGTATATCAGGTACACAGTACAGTAGCATTGAAATGGCTTCCCATAAGAATGTTATCATATGGTTGGGGAGACCTATAATACTGACTTAGATCAGGTACACAGTACGTAGCATTGAAATGGCTTCCCATAAGAATGTTATCATATGGGTGAGGAGACTATAATAATAATGATGTATATCAGGCACACAGTACAGTAGCATTGAAATGGCTTCCCATAAGAATGTTATCATATGGGTGAGGAGACTATAATACTGATGTATATCAGGTACACAGTACAGTAGCATTGAAATGACATCCCATAAGAATGTTATCATATGGTTGGGGAGACTATAATACTGATGTATATCAGGTACACAGTACAGTATGCCATAACATTGAAATGGTTTCCCATAAGAATGTTATCATATGAGTGAGGAGACTACAATAATACGGACTTATATCAGGTACACAGTGCAGTAGCATTGAAATGGCTTCCCATGAAAAATGTTATCATATGGGTGAGGAGACCTTTAACACTGGCATGTACATTACAATGAATATGGTATGCTTTTAAATGGCTTTCCATGTTAATGATTTTATAACTGACCTACTTCATTATGCTACATTAAATCCGCTTTACAAAACTCACCAGCTGTATTTACATTTTGTTAATAAAATATTTCTTGCACGAAGAAACAATAGCAAAACGTTGCTGTGCACAATAATAGTGAAATATTTTTTAGCTTCAAATGAACGAATGTTGGTGATAAAGCAACTATTTTAATCAAGGAAGCGTAATAGTGAGAGATATCTAGAGATACCTGTTCTTGAAAAGTCACCTAAGACCTTTCTCAAGAAGCTACGCATAATATCTATACTGTTATACTGTTTTTAAATTGTCTTTCATAACGACTTTGAAATGTTGTATATGTGTAAACGTGCTTCGTCGAGTCATTATTTTCAGACTGTTTACATACACATCATTGTTTTCCAAAGCCTTTAGACAGACAATGACGTACTAATACCAATGGAATGTATTATCCCTTCGAAGGAAATCTCTCAATTCCAAATATATTTGCTAAAAATGTTGTGTTTTCGATAATATAGCAATGAAATGAATATATTTTTGATTTTGAACGAATGCTGAAGGAAGCGTTTTGTTATGTTCTGACACGTGTATACAAACAGCCATCAAACTGCATTATTAACGAGCAAATTTCCCAATATATCAACACATTATTGTTAATCACCACGATAAGACTACCTTTACGATAATTCTAATCTAATCAATGTGTATTGAAAGAAAATTAGAACAATGCATTTAAATGATAAATAAATAAAAGTGATCCGATCTTTTCGAGATAATTTAGCGCGCTATTTTGGAGTAATTGATGTTGCAAAGCGAAATCGATAAAACGCAAACTGATTCCTCAAAATTAGAATTATTTTTTTTTTAGAATTTAGAATTCTCATTTAAAAGTTTGAAGAAGATACTTGGAGGAGAAAGGGTTGGATGTTTGGAATGCCAGATATATAGTCAGCAAAGGTATCTGTACGATTAATATCAAATAGATTTGAAAGTCAAACGTAGATCATGCATAAAAATATGTATTTGAAACTTGAATTATACATCTAGTCTGAGATGAATAACACGTTGAACTAAACAACCTCTTCAAGATCCTCTCAAAGTAGTATGTAATTGAAGGAATCGTATGATGAAACTTTATGAAATTGGTATAATATATATCTTTCTATACTTTATCTTTGCCTTCACGCCGTTACCGTCTTCTAACTAATAATTATAATTATAATAATTATAATAATTTACCAAACAAGAAAGGAAGGATTAAGAGTAATAAAAGTGTATAAAGCAAGGATTACTTACCTTTGATATGACCTTGGATATCCAAGTTGGACCAGATATTATCCTCGCAAACCCTTTCTACATAAGAGGATGTAGATGTTGGATGATTTTGTCGACGTCTTCACTGGAAACCAAGTGACGATTTAACCATGTTAAACTATTGCTAATTTATCTACACACGGCATGGAATATTTCGCAACTACAGAATGATATATTATTTAACTCAGGTCTGTGTCTAGAGGAGGCAACAGGATAAATATGGTGTTGTTCCTGTTGCGATCTTGATCAGGTGACATGCCTTCACTGAGTGACACTCAAAATCACACTCCACGCCGTTTGGCTTTTGACTATGGATGACTGTTGTATGGGGGAGGGGGTGGGGAGGGAAATGTGTCACGCATTCTCCTGCACAGCAGGCCGCTAGGCTACTTCGCAAAGGAGAACATAAAACCAGTAAATTCGATCCGTAGGGATGGCCTGTTGATAGCATCATAATAACTGACTACTGCTTTTTCATTTTCCAACACACACTCATTTTGTCTCTTCTTTTTTCTTTCCTCATTTCTTTTTAATTCTCTTCTCTTTATTTATTTTTATTTTTTCTAATATGCAGACAGAAGAAATGAAATATTCCATTTTTCTTTTCTTTTTATTTCTTCTTGTCACTTATTTCATCTTCTCTTTCCCATAGTTGTCTCCTTCACTCTTTTCTTGTCCTATCTAATCACTTCACATGCAAATGTATTGATTTCCCAATGAAAAGCCATCCACCCGTATGTATCGCCGCCCCCCACTCGCGCAAGGAGGGACACGTTCCCCCCTGAAAAAACTTTTGTTTCGGCACCAAAATTTAATTACTCCACGCGGAATTTCTGTGGATTGGACGAGAAAATGGTAATTCCCCCCTCTCCCCCTACAATCGAGACCTCGCTGCGCCCCTCTTTTATATAACACAGTACAGCTGATCCTTAAGTTGAATGACCATTTTATGCCATATTATACAAGTATTACTTGTATTATAAGTCTACGAAGTTTTACATTGTTTAGTTCTATATATATTGAAATTGTTATCTCTCGATGTAGCACTCAAGAATGACATCGAACAGTTCACCAATAAAAAAGATCTACAACTTTTTATTTTTACTTATTTTAGCTGAATACAGATGAAATAGTCCCAATTACGAATTATGCCATGCACCTGTTTAGTTAGGCGTCACGTGATTTTACTGATCCCCGTTAATTACCGTCAGAGTGGCGCGAAACAGTTGCCACTTGCAACTTGAGCACTTAACCTTCCAACTATTTGAATATTTTCTAAGCGTTTTCGAATAATTTTCACCCGTCCACACGTATGCGTTCGCGACAAGTGGAGCTTCAAAGTGGCGTATACTTCGGATAGGTGTGGACGGAAGGCCAGTTCACACACAAACACAAAAAACGTTTTAAAAATTATTCGGATACGTATGGGCGAGCCCTAATTCTTCGGGGGGCATAAACTTGAACAACACACATTATATTCTTGGCTTCACCTACGTCATCGAATATTGTTATCAGGACTTATATAGAACAAAACTTCTATAAGCCAAAAGAGAAACGAAAACCAAGCATCTCAACGGAAGAACTAGTTAAAAGAAGCTTTAGATACGGAGATACAAGCGATTGATTATACTCATAATTGAGATGAAATTATGGATCCGCCATCCGCCATCTTGGTATTTCATTGAGGGACACAAACATGGCGGCCAAATCGCGAAGGTCGAAAATCATGTTTATATTGAAACTTTAGTTTTTCAATACCAGTAATCATCAAAATGATGTTAACCATCATCTTCTAAATTTAAAACGTATTGCTTTAAATAAAATTCCCTACTTCTACTGCTTTAAAAATGCGTGACAGAATTGCGTTGATAAAGTCACGCATCACACCCTGTAACGTATCAAATTTTACACTACGGTAGCCAAATATTGAATCATAAGTGAAAACTATAGTCGATGACTGAGTGGATTCTTGCACAATATGACAGCAAATCGAACGATCATAAAATCACGTGACACTAGGTTAAGGTTCATTAACAAATATTCTATTCCAGGCTGCAGCAGGAAAATATTTTAGTTAACTTGACGAGTACTTAGATCTTGCCGAAAAGATCATCTATCATAGTGTCTTCTTTCTTGAAATGGGAATCGAACGACCTCTTGGAATGTGCTGAAATTAAAGGAAAGGACGAAAGGTTTTAGAAACTGCGGGAGATCTTGGATTTAAATCCTATTATTATTATTCTATGGTATTGTAATTATCACGATGGTATGATATAATCCTCATGATTAATGAAATGACAATAATGGGATTTAAATATTTAATAGTGGCATTTCCACAGAGTGGCTCTTATTCTACTGAAATACTCAAGTTTCGAATAGACCGTTTTCTCAAGGTTGCGTGCGCATCCAACTTGACGGGCCACAAAACTGAAAAACGCAAATTCAGTAAAATTGAGAAGCCAGTTTTATATTTAAAGAGAATAATCGATTTTATGAATTCTTATCGAAAAATATCTCATAGAAATGTATGATGATTCTCATAATAAAGCTCCTGTTCTGGTATCGTGGCCCATCAAGTTTCTTAAATTTGGATGTGCACTCTACCTTGAGAAAACGATCTATTCTCTGGTTTACAGTGTTATTGACGATTTCGTATGGAATTAATTTGAATATGTGTTGCAGTGAAGGTCAGTGGAATTTCAAAGTGTTTTTTTGTTTTTTTGTTGAAGTTGTGCATTCTTTACTTTACTGTTGGTATTTGTAAATATTTAGACACTGATACGAGGCTAACCCTGTATAAACGAGTCCGTGATAAAGGAACACAGCGGTATTTGAGTAATTTGAAAACGGTCTATTTGGTTAATATATTTGTACGGAGGAAGGAAAACCAAATAATCCGGAGAAAAACGCTCCAAGCACAGGAGAGAGCCAGTTAGAAACTCTACTCACATACAACACCGAGTTCGGGAATCAAAAACAGACCGCATTGGGACCCGGTAAATACATAAGTTGTTTTAAAGTTTCTGGACCCGGTACACCCACCGTGCTTCCCAAAACTTTGAACAAACTAGCTCAAAAATTGTACATACGTCTGGAGACTTTGTAGACAAAGATAGACTTGTCTCCACCAGCACACTTGACAGAGTTTCCTGGACACGGTTCAGTGCCTTTGATGCACTGGCTTGACTCGCCGTGTTTGTTGTACGTTGAGTGACCATCAGGTCCTCCCCAGCAAGTGGCTGAAATAGGAAAGGATTGTGTTACCAATACAAACAACGGTCTGCTTACCCCGAAATAACCAGTCAAAACCGAACAACAGCAAGCTAAATATAAATAAATAAATAATAATAATCCTATCGATAATTTTCTAAAAGGACTCTAAAGCTACTTCAGGGTCCAACCAGTCAAACCGACTGATAAAAAGAACGTAGCGTTACCATTATTATAGACTCCAAAAACTGAAAATCCTTTCTGTTTTGCAGCCCGAGCACACCGACACAGTAGACTAGGAAACTGTTTGTCCCATTCTTTAATCTCAAATACGTTTCCTCTGAAGACCCTGCTCGTAGGATCGATCTCGTTCTGTATCTCAACACCCAGCGCTCTTGAAGATGGGTTCTCAGCAAAGCATCCGAGAGGAGTTGTATTAAGTTCACAAGGCACTTCTAAAAACAAACAAAAAACAAAAATAAAATAAAACAGATTTATTTATTTGAGTTATTGTTGAATAACAGGGGCTTGGCGAAGGGGTGTGAGAGGGGGCGGCTGTCCTCCTCCCTCCAAATTCTTTCGGAAATTTTCGCGCCAAAACGCGTGTGCTCTCTGGGCTCCTCCAACTCTGGTACTCTCACTACGCCGCTGTTGAATATTGAGTTTTTACAAAGACGCTAGCGCTCTGTTGCAAATTAGATTCTGAATTCTAGTATTACCATTGCTTGGGTTCGAGAAACAAACCCTTGTTTAGGATAGTGAGACTAACTTATTCAGTACAGTAGTTGTTCTGGGAAATTCTTACCTGGACCAGAGAGGCGATAGACGTAGTTAGCGAACTGTTTTCCAGAGCAATATTTTTCGTAGGGTTTACAAGGTTCATAACACTTGTCGATACAGTTCTTAGACGATTTATCACGATCATACGTATAGTCGGCATTGTTGCCTGTCCAACATTCACCTATATGAGCCCAAAATAACATACAATTAGTGAAATAAATTCAATAAATGAAGTTTACAAGAATGACATAGATAGTATGTTCTTAATCTTTTGTTCTTCTTTTTTCTTTTCCTTTTTGTTTACTCATTCTTTTCTTTTTTTTCTCGATCAATCATTCATTCTTTATTCTTTCTTTTTCCACCTCTATCGGCTCTCTTTCTGGCTTCCATTTAACGGTTTCATCTTTCTTCTTTCTTTCACTCCACTTTTTCATTATTTCATTTCTTTAGTGTTTTTCTATCTATCAAAATGTTCTTTCTTTTTTTCCCCTTCTTTCTTCTTTCATCCTCATTTCCTTGCCATGGTTATATCTGTTTTCAATCTTTACTCTACTCATCTCTAGTTTTTACCATAATACTGAACGCCGAACGTGGTATGTCCAAGTGACTTGGCTTTCTTGGCACATCGGCAGGCTAGTTGAGGCATGTAAGTATCCCAGTTACGCCAGTCCAAAAGGACATGTGTGAAGATGTCGCCTCTGGTGGAGTCGACTCGATCTGTCAAGACGTAATTTGGGAATGGTCGTGCTCCTTTAATGTGGCGATCACTATAGCAACCAAGGCTCTCGATTGGGATATCGCAATCGGGAACTGCAAGACAAAGAAAAAGATTTAGACCATAAAAACAAACCTTGGCGACCTCTGACCTGATCTAAGTCAGGGCATGGCTAACTCACAGATCAAACAATGAAACAACCTCTGGACTGATCTAAGTCAGGGCACGGCTAACTCACAGATCAAACAATGAAACAACCTCTGGGCTGATTTAACTCAGGGCATGGCTAACTCACAGAGAGAACCCTGAAACAACCTCTGGGCTGATCTATGTCAGGGCATGGGTAACTCACAGATAGAACCCTGAAACAACCTCTGGGCTGATCTATGTCAGGGCATGGCTAACTCACAGATAGAACCCTGAAACAACCTCTGGGCTGATCTAAGTTAGGGCACGGGTAATTCTCATACTCATAGTAGATTCAGGAATTGGAAATTACCATGTTAGGTTCAGTTGCGAAGGGAATAAAAGCCAGAGAACAAGGAGAAAAACCCTTTGCCCATTTATATACGAAGGGATCACTTACTTTCAAGCTGAAATAAAATGGATTGTAAGCATATCTTTTGTTTTTACCTACCGATCTCATAGATAAAGTTAGTGAACTGTTGTCCAACACAGTGTCTACTGAAAGGAGAGCATGTCTTGTATTCATTTCCAGTACATTTCTTATTATCCGCCTTGCCAACTGCTTTGTAACTTTTAGCATCCGGGCCACTCCAACACTCACCTAAACACGACAAAATCATGGTAACCACCTTGTTAAAAATATCCATAAATATTATAAAATAGACCTAGTGTTATTCCCTAGAGTATCATTTCTGATAAGATGAGAAGACAAAGAATGTTATTTTCAAGGGAATGACACGTGTCTGAAATGGGAAAGCATTACGTCCGAGGAGCTCTATTGGTTGCCTAAATTCCCCAGCCAGGAGCTCTTGTTAAAAAGTTCAAAGATGCGCCCTTTACCCCTTAAACTATTAGACTTAATTATAACGTGTATTCAAAGCTACAGAGAACATAGAGAAGTCGAAACAGACGTAGAGATCCTGAGGATCGAACTGTGGACCTCTAGCTCCAAAGGCCGCGTACTAGCCAACTGAGCTACTCCTGCTTCTATACAGGAAAAGAAATGGCTACACTTGAAGAATAATTTATTTATAACCAGATGGTGAAGTACATAATTAGCTTACCAAAGAACTGTAGACCAAAAACCTTGTAACCAAGACTTTTAGCTTTAGCAGCACATCTACAAGCAAACCCAGCAATATAGTTATCCCAATCGTACCAGTCAATCATGCGGTGACCAAACACTTTACTGGTTACATCTCGTTCATTGAGGATCTCACGGGGGAGGGGTCTCTGACCGTCATCTTTGAAACAACCAACAGCTTTATACTGGATTTTACATTCAGAACATTTCCATTTGCCCTCAACCAGCACTGCAAAGATAGTCAGATTTATATTAGTTTATTTTATTTCAAAAAAAAAACAACAAAAACAACAACAACAAAAAAAAAAAAACGCTAGATTAACGCCAACGACGTAAAAAAATACATTTGATTCGGGTTCTTGACTAGCTGATATTTTTGTTTACATTTAAGAAATTAACGAAATAAGAAATTTCTAAATGCTAATTAAATATAACGAGAGTTGATACTACTGGAGATACTGCGGTGAATTTGTAAAGGTCTTGGACTGATTCATTTACGTGCGATATCACGGAAGTTATTATTCAAAACTGTCATTATATCATTTCTTTTTTTTTTGTTTTGTTTTGTTGTTAAAACAAGAATAGAACTACAAGGGAAGGGGAAAAGAAAAGAAAAAGAAAACAAAGAAAAAGAATAAGAAAAAAATAGAATAGCAAAGAAAACAATGGAAAAGCAACATGAAATAGAAAGAGCGACTTTTGAAACGATTCTTAAAGTTGCATAATCTTGAATTAAACTAAACCACTATACCTACAAGAGAAAACTTATTTTACTCGATTGAAAAGATGATAAACACCTTGATGAATATTCATCCAAGCTACTGTGCGTGAAAGGGAGTGGATGGAATCAATAAGAAAGATTCCCAATATGAGATTTAGCACAATTGCCAGGCTTTTTGACCAAGAACAAAACAAAAGCGAAAAGAAAAGAAACCAGTATATGCAATTCTAATAATTAGTAATTGTACACGTTAACTGTAGATGATTATTCCCAATTACGAGAAAATATGTTATTTATTTCAATAATAGAATAAGAAGTGTCTAGTAGTGAGCCACTGGATTGGAGTTTGATTCACAGGAATTATCCTTCCCGTCCTAAGAAAAAGAGATTCAATAATTCAATTTATACCTTATATATAAAAGTGTTACTTATTATTGCACCAAAAATCTAATTGTTAGAATTAGCTCGACCTTTAGATATAGGTGTTTACAAATAATTAAATAAACAGAAGTTACTTCATGGCGGCAGTAAAATAAAATGAAATTAGGAGCCTTAAACGAGAGGATGTTGAAGAATAGGATTTAATTAATTAAGAAAGAAAGAAAGAAAGAAAGAAAGAAAGAAAGAAAGAAAG